AGAAACAGATAGCAGGAGACAGCATCTCCAAGCGATCCATATGTGAAAAGGCTAGGAAGTTGCAGACGATTTAATTAGAAAAATGCCAGCAACTAGTGATGTTAGTGAATTTAAGGCCACACCCCCCCCCCGCAAAGGTGAGGTTTGGAGATTTAAGAAGCGTAGTGGCATTCATAGTGTGATAAGGCAAAAATGGTGAGGCTGCAGTTCGGACACAAATCGGCTGAAAATTAGTGGCAGGACTTCAAGGAGTACATAGACAGTGAAGACTGAAACCTAACAGTGTTTAATTGTACGAAACAGGCCTGTTTTGGAAGAAAATGCCAAGCTGGACCTACATTACTCAGGAGAAAAGGCACTCCCAGGACTTAAGACTATAAAGACAGGCTTACTCTGTTGATGTGTGCAATGCAGTTGGTGATTGGCAAAGTGAAGCCTTTTAATTGGTTGTACACTCTGAAACTCCCAGAGTGTTCAGGGAAAACAGTGTCCTCAAGGCTAAATTTGTGTGTGCTGTGGAGGGCAAACAGTAAGGCATGGGTCACTAGGGACTTTTCTATGACTGGATACATCATCATTTGCCCCCAATGTGAAAAATTACCTAATTGAAAAGAAATTAGACCTTAAGTCCTCTCTGGTATTAGACAATGCTCCTGGTCATCCTTCAGACTTGGCAGAGCGACTTTCTAGGGACATGACTTCTTAAGGTGAGTTTTTTGCCTCTTAATACCACTCCTCTCCTGCAGCCCATGGACCCAGCAGGTTATTATCCAACTTCAAGAAACTGTACACAAAAGCTATGTGTTGAAAGGTGCTTTGTAGTGACCTCAGAAACTCAACTGACCTCTAAGAGAGTTTTGGAAAGATCATTTTTACATCCTCATTGGTGTAAACATTATAGTAAGGCTTGGGAGGAAGTGACTCTGAGGACATTGAACTCTGCTTGGAGAAACTGTTGCAGAATGTGTAGAACCAAAGGGATTTTGGAAAGGGTTTGAGGCTAACCCTGAAAAATCACTATGCCAGTTGAAGATCAATTGTGGCATTGGGCTTGGGGTTGGAGGTTAGTGGGAGGATGTGGAAGAGTTGGTGGTGGAGGACATGAAGAACTAACCACTGCTGATGCTGCTAGATCAACTTCAACAGCAAGAGGGCACAACCTGAGGAAACTGCTTCTGAGGAGGTGAGAGAGAAATGAAGAAGTTGCCTACATCTAATGATAAGGAAATGTGTGGCAAATGCTTGAAGTGCAAGCCTTCTTTGAATGATAATCACCTGACACAGCCCACTGCAAAGCTGTGCTGTGACAATTACACTGGACACTGTTGTGAGACCACCTTAGGAAAGTCATAAAGGAACAGAGGTACAGGCCTCTATGGACAGAAGTTGTGCGACAGAAGTCCAGTAACTCTGAAGCTGGTCCCTAGTGGGCATTAAAAGAACACAGGGAAGTAACCCCAGAAAAAAGACTTGCTGCACTCAAGTGCTAATGGAAAGGGGATTCTCCTTCTAAACACTAACACCTCTCCCCTCCTCCCATCCCATCAATCATCACCAGATCTTCAATAAAGGTAAGTGTCATGTAACTGTGCATGCCTTTTTCAGTTTGTGTGTATTAAAAATATTTCATGTGGTAAAAATTGTTTTTTTTCAATACTTTTGGGTGTCTTGCACGGATTAATTTGATTTCCATTATTTCTTATAGGGAAAATTAACTTGACTAAACGATAATTCTGACAAAACGATGAGCTCTCAGGAACGGATTAATATCGCTGGTCGAGGGTCCATTGTATTTTAAGGTAAGTAATGAGTGTACTGTATATGCATTTTATCGCTCTAGTCCACTTTAAATGCCTAGTATATACAGTGGTCCCTCAATAATCGTCCGGCCTGAAAGTCGTCCATTTCGAAAATAGTCCCGTTATTTTGTCTAAACATTGGGCTCGCAAATGGTCCATTAACTCGCAAATTCGTCCTTCGTCCGGACGCGTACTCACGTTCTGAGCCGCCTGGGCCTGCCTTCCCAGCCAGTGTGTCATTGTTTACCAGTGAGCGACGGTCCCCTCACATGCTCCTACGAAATATTTCATAATATTCCATTGATTTTAGTGCTTGCAAGTGCTAAATAAGCTACCATAGCTCCAAAGAAAGCTTCTAGTGCCAGCCCTTTGGTAAAGAATGTGAGAAACAAATAATTTATGAAAAAGTTTGTAGAAAAATACAAAGGTGGTGGTGGTAGAGTGGAAGCAGTTGTAATAGTGGTTGATTGTGGTAGTGATGGTGGTAACAGTTGTAATAGTGGTAGAAGGTCGTAGTGATGGTGGTAGAGGGTTCCTTCTTTAGTGATTCAGCGATTCTACTAACTCTTCCAATGTTGTTGGAGTTATACAGGGCTACAGAAAACACCACCGCCTCAGCTGCTGCTTCACCACCATTATGGACAGCTTACTCTCAGTGGCCCTTATATACCCAACAACAACACAACACCTCTCGTGACATACGTAATGACTTATTTTATTCATTCTAGAGTATATTCCATGTTTCTATGTTGTTAATATTGTTTATTATGTCATATTAGTTGAATTGAGATAGATAAATAAGCCCTAGAGTTGATATTAGTGTCATATTCTCCAACAGTAAACTCGCCATCCCTCCCTCACACAAACAAGTCTCCAATAAGAACATAAGAAAGGAGGAACACTATGAAATTAAGACACATGTGCAACATCTGGGTATCTTTATTGTAGACGTTTCGCCTTCCAGTGGCTTTATCAAGTTAAATGATGTAGAACTTAGCCATACAGATTGCGAAAAGGACTTAGGGGTTATGGTGAGCAGCAATCTTAAACCAAGACAGCAATGCCTAAGCGTACGTAATAAGGCAAATAGATTACTGGGATTTATATCAAGAAGTGTAAGCAACAGAAGTCCAGAGGTCATACTGCAGCTTTATACATCATTAGTAAGGCCTCACCTAGATTATGCAGCTCAATTCTGGTCTCCATATTACAGAATGGACATAAATTCATTAGAAAACATTCAGCGTAGGATGACTAATTATACATAGCATTAGAAATCTTCCTTATGAAGAAAGATTGAAGACTCTTAAGTTACATTCACTTGTTAGACGAAGATTGAGGGGAGACCTGATCGAAGTGTATAAGTGGAAGATAGGTATTAATAAAGGGGATATTAATAAGGTCTTGAGGATATCTCTCCAAGAGAGAACCCACAGTAATGGATTTAAATTAGATAAGTTTAGATTTAGAAAGGACATAGGAAAGTATTGGTTTGGAAATAGGGTAGTTGATGAGTGGAACAGTCTACCTAGTTGGGTGATTGAGGCTAGGACTTTGGGTAGTTTTAAATTTAGGTTGGATAAGTACATGAGTGGGAGGGGTTGGATTTGAGTGGGACTTGCACATCAGAGCTTATTTCTTGGGTAGCATAGAAAATTTGTTTGGGCAAATGTTTTGTTAGTGGGATGAATTGTAAAGGAGCTGCCTAGTATGGGCCAACAGGCCTGCTGCAGTGTTCCTCCTTTCTTATGTTCTTATGTTCTAAATTCGAGGACATAACTTGAAGATAGTAGAACTATGTACAGAAGATGAGGTAATCAGTCCCTCAACCTAGCAGTAGGTGTGAAGAGCACTGTAGTCGTGGAGATTCTGAAGCAGAAGCAAGGCGCATGATGCTTATATAGTAACGTCAGGTGGAAAGGGGACGGGTAGCAGACGAGGGCATAGTCACTGGTAGGCGGGATTCCCCATTGGAAGTAGGTCCTACCCAAAGAGATGGGTTAGTTGTAGTAGTAGTTGTCGTAGTCGTGAAGGTTATGTACACGTCGTAACGACTACAACTACTTCTACTACAACTAATCCATCTCTTTGGGTAGGACCTACTTCCACTGGGGAATCCTGCCTACCAGTGACTATACCCTCGTCTGCTACCCATCCCATTTCCACCTGACGTTACTATATAAGCGTCAGGCGCCTTGCTTCTGCTTCAGAATCTCCACGACTATGGTGCTTTTCGCACCTACTGCTAGGTTGAGTGACTGATTACCTCATCTCTGTAACTTAGTTCTACTATTTTCAAGTTATGTCCTCGAATTTTGTATTGATAAAGCCACTGGATGGTGAAACGTCTACAATAAAGATACCCAGATGTTCACATGTGTCTTTAATTTCATCTTGTGGGTATTGTATACCATTCTTGTACAAGGGAGGAACACGCAGTAGGCCTGTTGGCCCATTACTAGGCAGGTCCCTTACAATCCTTCCCACAAAGAACATAACAATGGAAGAACACTGCAGGTCTACTGGCCCATACAAGGCAGGTCCTTATCAAAATGACCTCTACCCAAAGCTACCCAAGAATTTACTCCCGTACCCAATGACACAAATCAAACTCAGCTCCTCCCACTCATATATTTGTCCAATCTCTTCTTAAAGCTACCCAAGGTCCTAGCCTCGATCACCCTACTGGTAAGTGTGATGAAAATAAATGGTATAAAATACCGACACAATGGAAACATAAACACATATGCAGTTTAATGTGATCCTTTATTGACAACGTTTCGCCCACACAGTGGGCTTTTTCAAGTCGCAAACAGATCTACCTGGGGTGGAAGGTACGGGAGTATTTATAGTCAGGTTCAGAATGTTGAGGTCAGGTGGAGAATGCTGCATCTGATGATCTACCGGGTGGGGTTATAGTGTCTTGGGTAGCTTGGCAGGGGTATTGGACAAGTTGTGAGTAGACCTTCTGCAGTGTTCTATGTTCTTATGTGGGATAGCAATGAAGAAGTTTCTTGGCAAGTGGTTCAGCTATGTTGTAGAAGCCATTGTTCTGGAGGTCTACTCACAACTTGTCCAATACCCCTGCCAAGCTACCCAAGACTCTATAACCCCACCCGGTAGATCATCAGATGCAGCATTCTCCACCTGACCTCAACATTCTGAACCTGACTATAAATACTCCCATACCTTCCACCCCAGGTCTCAATCAGTACGCTATTCAGCCAGTGTTGCCTCTCCTCGCCGTTGTCTGAAGTCTCCACGCCTCAGCCTGTATGTGAAGTCTGCGCGCCATACAGCTAGTGTTGGCTCTCCTCATCGCTCACAATCAGAGTTGCTCTCCTCCCCACC